GATTTTCCCGGACATGTCCGGGAAAATCTGGACGTATGGTAACCCTAGACCAGCTCCACCTCCCATCTCTGCCTGATTCAAGACACAGCTCTAGATCCCTTCATAGTGATACGAAGGACAAGTGATTTCACAGAGCTGTCAGGGGAGAGCTCATTCTGACCTTGCTTACCTCTAGCTTGTTCAGCATTTGAATGTGCATCCTCAAGGTCCAGTCTTCTAATGGGGCTCTCCTCCACCACGTGTGACTGTCTGTATTGCTCCCCACAGGCACACTGAGAAGATCAGGCTAATCCACGTTTCTGCATTGCAACAATTCCTCTGGCCAGTCCAGTCAGGGGCCCATTAAGCCTAGCTCAGGATCTGCATCACAGGTTGTAAATACAAGTTAGGGCTTCTGAAAATCCATCAGCACGCCAGTCTCTCTATCCCAGAGTTGCTGCCCCTCTGTCAGCCCAGCTCTGTCATCATTCATCTGAGACTGGCACTGGGCTGGCAGCACTAGACATGAGTGCAGCAATTGCTGCCATAAAACGATATTGCCAAGTCAGTCATGACAAGTCTGGAGGAACCACAGGGGCAAGTTTTTGCTTCAGGAGGGGGCCGATCTGCTTGTAGGAAGTGTGCATTGCCTCTGCCCTAGTCGGAACCATTGTCAGCCTGGTGCGCAGCAGGTCCTGCCAGGCGTCCCTGCGCTCCAGGCAGTTCTAAGGGGGATGGACTCTGGGTGAGGTTTTCAGGGAGCTATGGAGCCAACACATGTAAATTCGATTCTGATGTCAGGCTAAGGCAACCATTCATGACACGGGTGACTGTGCTGAGCTCACAATCACCAAGATGCTTATGCCAGTGTCTGCCCCATGGTACTGCACAGTATCACACTGGAGCGAATATCAGCACCAGGAGTGAGGGTGTAAATTTGCTCATCAGGAGGTTCCTACCAGCAGTGCAGGGGTGATCTTTTTAAGTGCTGTAGTGGGAGCAGTAGGTCAGACTGCCGTCCAGTCTGCCTAACTAGGTGACAGCTGGCTGGGAGGGGAGTGGACAAACTTCAGCATTGCCCAAGTGATTAGCCTGGTTAGTGGTGGGGAGCCCTTGACAGGCAGTGGCTGTGTGTAGAGACCGGTCAGATCCGTCAGCGGGAGGCGCTACGTTCCCCAGCGACTTGAGAGATCAGATGCACAGGAACCTCCCTGAGTGTTTCTTCCCTTGGGTGTTTGCAGACGCTGGCAGCTCAGAAGTGGCTCAGCTCCGACTGGTGAACAGCCCAAGCCGCTGCGCTGGGAGGGTCGAGGTACTTCATAACCAGCAGTGGGGAACCGTGTGTGATGACAACTGGGACTTACAGGATGCCGGAGTCATATGCAGGCAGCTGGGCTGTGGGACGGCGTTATCATCCCCAGGAGGGGCTCGATTTGGGCACGGATCTGACCATATCTGGCTGGATGATGTCAACTGCACAGGGACAGAAGTTGCCCTCTCTGATTGCAGGGCTCGGCCTTGGGGAGAGAATAACTGTAACCACAGAAAAGATGCCGGTGTTGTGTGCTCAGGTAACTTGCATCCATCACGTCACCGTGGGTGGTGCATGGTTGGGCTGGGAAGGTTTCAGCACAGACCCAGCTCTCCTGTCTGAGCCCTGGTCTACACTACGGGGTGGGGAGGGGGCGTATGTTAGGTCAACTTACCTGGCCGTGAGGACGGCAGTGAGTCGACCACTGCCTCTCCCCCATCGACACTAATCTGCCTCTCACAAGCTGGAGTTCTGGAGTTGACAAGGAGTGCCATCACGGATAAATCGATAAATCGATAGATTGATTACTACCTGCTGATCCGACAAGTAGTGAAGACCTGCCCTGAGTCAGCACTGACCCTAGTGCCCCAGCATGGTGTTAAAGGCCTGTACTGCAGGTAGGGGGGTGTCAGTTGGGGGCGCTCTCCGTTTGCAGTTATACTGTCCCTGATGCCCCACCGCGGTGCCATGGGCCCCTAGAATGAGGAAGCCTTGTCTGTGCCCGCTGCGGGGTAGCTCCCTAACTCCCTCGGCCACAGGCCACACAAGCCGTGCCCTCTAGGCCTTTGGGAGAAGGGTGACATCTCTCCATGTTGGCAATAGGCACACTTCACCCCTCGGCTGTCCGAGCGTACCTCTGCAGCACCCAGTCCCTGTCCCACTGGGCATTCACAGCAGTCACAAAGGAACAAGGTTCCAAGGTGACCAGCTCCACCTCCCATCTCTGCCCCAATCAACACACAGCTCGAGATCCCTTCATAGTCACACCAAGGACAAGTGATTTCAGAGTGTAGAGAGTTGAGGGGTAGGAAGGAGAAGGGTTGGAAAGAAATGGTTCTATGGCCAATAAAATTATAACACGTTGACTAGAGCCTAGACAAGTTGAATGAGATACTTTTCTGTCGGGTAGAGCAAGGCTCAACCCACAATCCTTCCAGGGTTTTACTCCAGGTTTAGCTGTGATCCCCTGTTCCTGAGAGAAATGCTGTCAGCCGCCTCCTGGGAGCTCTTGTCCCCTCTCCTCTTTCTTTGTAGGTACAGACCATTTTCTCCTCCAGAGCCGGTCTGTCTTCGGAGACTTGTGCTAAGGGTCCTTTGTCTTTGTAAATTCTCAGGCCCTCACTGGGCCGAGGCAGTGAACACAGCTTGTCTCTACAGCTGTGCATTGTTCTATGTGCTGATTGGCTCAGCTAGAAGGGATTGCCATGGCACAGGTGATAAGCTTGACTTCCACACTTCTGGAGCGTCATATGCTACATTTTACATCTCTCTTCAATTTTGTCCCATACAAACATCTTGCTCCCATTAGGTTGACCAGTGACTCATAGACTCATAGACTTTAAGGTCAGAAGGGACCATTATGATCGTCTAGTCTCACCTCCTGCACAATGTAGGCCACAGAATCTGACCCACCCACTCCTGTAACAAACCCCTGACCTATGTTTGAGCTATTGAAGTCCTCAACTTGTGGTTTAAAGACTTCAAGGTGCAGAGAATCCTCCAGCAAGTGATCCATGCCCCATGCTGCAGAGGAAGGCGAAAACCCCCCAGGGTCTCTGCCAATCTGCCCTGGAGGAAAATTCCTTCTCGACCCCAAATATGGCGATCAGCTAAACCCTGAGCATGTGGCAAGACTCACCAGCCAGACACCCAGGAAAGAATTCTCTGGAGTAATTCAGATCCCACCCTATCTAGTGTCCCATCATAGGCCATTGGGCATATTTTCCGCTAATAGTCAAAGATCAATTAATTGCCAAAATTATACTATCCCCTCCATAAACTTATCAAGCTTAGTCTTGAAGCCAGATATGTCTTTTGCCTCTACTGCTCCCCTTGGAAGGCTATTCCAGAACTTCACTCCTCTGATAGTTAGAAACCTTCATCTAATTTCAAGTCTAAACTTCCTGATGGCCAGTTTATATCCATTTGTTCTTGTGTCCATATTGGTACTGAGCTTAAATAATTCCTCTCCCTCCCTCCTATTTATCCCTCTGTTATATTTATAGAGAGCAATCATATCTCCCCTCAGCCTTCTTTTGGTTAGGCTAAACAAGCCAAACTCTTTGAGTCTCCTTTCATAAGACGGGTTTTCCATTCCTCGGATCATCCTAGTAGCCCTTCTCTGTACCTATTCCAGTTTGAATTCATCCTTCTTAAACATGGGAGACCAGAACTGCACACAATATTCCAGATGAGGCACAATACCATTATACTGTGCCTTGTATAATGGTACTAACATCTCCTTATCTCTACTGGAAATATCTCTCCTGATGCATCCCAAGACCGCATTAGCTTTTTTCACAGCCATATCACATTAGTGGCTTATAGGCATCCTGTGATCAACGAACACTCCGAGGTCCTTCTCCTGCTCTGTTATTTCCAATTTATGCGTCCCCAGTTTATAACAAAAATTCTTGTTCTTAATCCCTAAATGCATGACCTTGCACTTTTCACTATTAAATTTCATCCTATTACTATTAGTCCAATTTACAAGGTCATCCAGATCTTCCTGTATGATATCCCGGTCCCTGTCTGTATCGGCAATACCTCCCAGCTTCATGTCATCCACAAAGTTTATTAGCACATTACCACTTTTTGTGCCAAGGTCAGTAATAAAAAGATTAAATAAGATTGGTCCCATACCGATCCCTGAGGAACTCCACTAGTAACCTCCTTCCAACCCGACAGTTCACCTTTCAGTATGACCCATTGTAGTCTCCCCTTTAAGCTGTTCAAGTTTGGCTTCTACCTCGGATGTGGTAATATCTACCTCCATATCCTCATTCCCATTTGTCATCGCACCATTATCCCTAAGCTCCTCATTAGTCTCATTAAAGACTGAGACAAAGTATTTATTTCGATATTGGGCAATGACTAAATTATCCTTAAGCTCCACTCTGTCCTCAGTGTTTAGTGGTCCCACTTCTTCTTTCTTTGTTTTCTTCTTATTTATCTGGCTATAGAACATTTTACTATTGGTTTTAATTCCCTTTGCAATGTCCAACTCTACATGGCTTTTGGCCTCTCTCTTTCTAAATGGAAGGATAAACAAAAATAGATCTGTGACTATGGTTTTTTATTTCAAAGGGCTAACTTTAAAAAATTAAGGAAATTAGTTAGAGAAGTGGACTGGACTGAAGAACTTGTGGATCTAAAGGCGGAGGAGGCCTGGAATTACTTCAAGCCAAGGTTGCAGATAAAACCTTGGCTTGAAGTAATTCCAGGCCTCCTCCGC